CTTTTATAGATAATTTCATTATCTTGTAACCATTTAATTGCTTCTGATTCTGATTCTAAGATTCCTTGTATTTCTCGTCTTGTCGGGATATCTCCGCGTGGCATGCTTTTTGTTTTTCTGATTTTCCTTATATAAGTAGACGTTTTCCTACTGGGTGTTGGTCTTTAATTCGAATGAATTATCTTGAAACATTAAAGTTCCAAATCATTGTTCTTATACTTTTTCCAATACTTGTCTGCGCCTTTCAATTATATACTATTATCTCCCTTATTTTTTTATTTTTAGAATCATGTCTAACCCTATTGATCAACTTTTTGATTCTCATATTGTTCGTAATCAATCTTATGATCTCTTGATTACTATGTTTCTCCGCAGCATTTTTCTTGATATTCACGAGTTATATTTAGTTTTTCTCAGTACTCTTCCTTCTGATAAGGTTCGCCCTTATCCTTCTGATTTCTTTCTCTATTTTTCTTGTGGTGATTATGACACTCTTTCTTTTCTTTGTTTTGGTCGTTCTCGAGATACTTATACTTTCTTGAAAACCATTCTTCTTCTCTTGAAGATTTTATCTTCTTTCTTTATGAAAGAAGTAATAAGAAGGCTTTTTCTTTGGTTTATAAGCGTTTCCATGTTCATTACAGTACTCTTAATGGTACTTCTTTTCGATGGGATAAAGACTTTTTCGACCCTGATTATAAGTTCAGTCGAACTATTAATCAGACTATTCATGTTGCTTCTGTTCTTAATTGGGATGGTTATGGAAAGGATACTATTTCCCTTGACGACCTTAATTCTGGTCTTAATAATCTTTCTTTTAATGATGTTTCTTCAGGTGAGGGTAGTTTATTGGTTTTTCACATACTACCGGACCAGAGTAGAAGATTTTTCTAACTTCCACCTGGTTGGTAGTGCATGACGATCGAATATTTCTTAACCCTACTATTTTTGTTTTATTTAGATAGTTGTAGTCCTGAAGATAATCCTTTCGGTCTTTTAATCCGGAGTATGATTCTTTTAATGTTTATCGTTCTCAAGGAGAAAGAGAAGATCATATTAATACTCAATTTTATTCTGATAGTTCTTCTGATGATTATGGTGTTGATGATGTTGATTGTTGTTATAGTGATTATGATGATTATTATTTTGATGATTGATTGTATCACTATTATTTTTATTGTTTTAATAAAGAGTCTTTTTTCATCTGTTTTTGGTTTTCTTTTTCTTTTTTAAGTTGTTCTAATTCTTCTGAAGTTCCTCGTGATAAGAAATCTGTGGCAAAATTCTTTGCTCCTTCTATCCTGTGTATTTCATAATCATATTCTTGTATTTTTATAAACCATCCATCTATTGTTCTATTATTGCATCATCCTTTTGCACTTGCTGTGATTCCAGTTGCGTCAGAGTATATATGTATTTTCTGCGTTCCTATATAATGTCGCCATTGTTCTTGAAAGTGTACTATCGCATATATTTCTTTTTGTGTTGTTGGCTACTTTCTTTGTGTTTCTGACAACGCGGTTGATCCTATTTTTATTATTCGTATATTTTCTGATGGTCGTTTACTATAGTCTTTTTCAGCCAATATTTGTTCTCTTAGTAAGTCTTTTCTTTTAATTTCTTCTTTGATCTTCCAATGATCTCGTGATTTGTCTCCTATTTGGTATAATATTGCTCCAACAGCCTTGTCGGATGCATCTGTTTCCATAAAGAATGGTTGGTGTGGATCTGGATATGATAGTTCCAGTACTCGTTTTATTTCTCTTTTTAACATGTCCATTGCTTGTTGACATTTTGGTGTCCAGTCAAAGTCTTTATTTCCTACTCTTTCATAGAGTGGTGATGCAATTTTTGCAAAGTCTAATATAAAGGATCTGAAGTAATTCATAAATCCTAGAAATCGTTGTAATGATTGTTTATCTTTTGGTACCTCAAATTTATCTACATTTCCTATTTTTAGTACATTTTTCCCAATTTTCCATATGATACTTCACAGTTTAGTATAATTGTTTTCTGTACTAGGAATTCGCATTTTGATGGTTTTATCTTTAGGCGTGCTTTTTTAAGCATTCTAACGTCCTTGTTAGTTTTTCACATGCTTCTTCTTTTGAGTTTAGCATTATTACTATATCATCCATATATACTATTACAAATAGTAAATGTCCCAATATTTTATTCATTGCTTTTATTAGATAGGCTGGCGCTGTTTGTATTCCAAATGACATTCCTTTCTAGCAGTATGTTCCAAAATCTGCAAATTCTGTTGCGGTATATTTTCTTGAATCCTCATGTACTAATATTTGCCAGTATGCTGATTTTATATCCATTGTTATATAGTGTTTGTACATTGATATTTTCTGTAACATTTGCTTTGTGTCTGGTAGCAGTTCTCTTAGCAGTAGTAAGAAGGTGTTTAATATTCTATAGTCGATCGCAATTTTCTTTGTTCCATCATTCTTTTCTATTACTATACATGGACTTCTCCAGTCAGTATTTCCACTAAATATTATTCCATTTTTTAATAAGTCATCTCTCATTTTTCTGATTATTTCTAATTCTTCTTGAGAATATTTTCGTTTCTTTTGTGCTTTCATATTCCATGGTATTTTTGATTCATCTACTCCTTCTTTTAATATTATTTTAACAGGTTCTATTACTATAGGATCTACATGGGTCGCATATTCATCTTTTTCTCTAAAAGTATCTATGTATTTAGTTAATACGGGTCCTAATAATTCCCATACGCCTGGTCCTTCAGTCTGAAGACAGCGTTCTTCCAGGATTTTTATTCTTTTCTTTTCATCTTCAACAGTTTGGTTAAAGTTTGGTAAATTCTGAAGAAAAATTGTATCATTTTTCTGGACAGAATTCTTCATTTTTTCATTGTCATTTTTTATAAAATTTTTAATTTTAATTTTTTCACCATTTGCTATTTTTTGTCCTCTTCTAATTTCAAATTTCTTATTTGAAATATTCATTATCATTATTTGGTCATCATTTGCTATTCCTGGTTGGACTATTATTGCTTCTTTTGCCATTTCGGTTGTTGTTCCTATATATATATCATCTTCAAGGGGTTTTTTAATCTTGCAGTACCCTATAAACATTGGTGGTATATCGGTATTTTCTTCTGAAAGTATTTGGTATTTAACATTTTTCTCTTCTTTAATGGTTGGTATTATTATATGTCTCATTTCTATAGGGTATTTTTCTTTTATTTTCCTATAGAAATTGAAGTTGTTTGGGTCGTTATCTGTCATTTCTGATATATTATCTGGTACTCCTATTCCTTCTTTTTTCGGTGATGGTGGTGGTGTTTTATCTTCTATTGTTGTGGTTTCATATATATCTTTTAATCCTTTTTCAATTCTTGTATTATTTCTCCATGCTATTTCTGGGTTGGTGAATTTAAATACTTTTTTCCAATGATTTTCATCAAAATTCGTGTTTCTTGGTATAGGGTAGTATACATCTTGACCTCTCCAGGTTGATCTTAATGTTTAGTATAGTCTGATTCATATGGAGTGTAATTTGGAGTATAATCTGTTGATGATCCTGCTTCATTTTGATAATATATTCTTTGTTGTTGTTGATATCTTATTGGTCGATTTAGTCCTTCATTTTCTATTTCTTGTTCCACTTTATCCATTTCTCTTTCATCTTCAGATGTTATTTCCTCTCTTTGTTGTTTTTCATAAAGTTCTCTTCGTACCTTATTTTGTTTTCTCCATTCTGTTAGTCTTGGGTTATCTGATGTTGGGTACGATATATTTGAGTCATATGATCTAGTTCTTTTGTGTGTTGTTATCATTTCTTCTCTATGGTCTTGATCTCCATATAGACTTTCATGTTCTGATATATTTTCAGGATGGACTTCCTGTTTTAATGGTGATAGTTTATTTGGTATTGATGATGTTGATTGTTGTGATCCTCTTCTTGAGAATAGTCCCTTTATTAATGAAATATTTGGTAATAGCCAATTTTTCGGTAAACTTAGTCTTGAATGTTGTTCTTGTTGTTTTATCCATGATTTTGTTCTATTTTCACTATATCTGTCTTTTAAGATCCATTGGTCTTCTTCATCTTCATTATTACTTTTAGTGGAGTCTGTTGGTGATATCAGTATTATTGGTGGTGGATTTCTTGGAAAGTCGTCTTTATGTGGTTTATAATATTCATGATATGGTTTTGATGGTGGGAATATTTCAGGTTTTGGTTTTTGTCTTTTTTCTTGTTGTTCTTTAAACATTTCATTTTCTATGTCTTCTGTATCATGCATTTGTCCTAGTGATTCTAATTCCACTCCCAATAGTTCTCGATATTTTTGTTGCATTTGTTCTCTTACCGCTAGTTCTTGGCAATATTCTATGGATTCTATTAATTTTTGCATTATTATTTGTCTTTTGAAATCTTGCATTTGGTAGAATTCTTCTTTACTCATATTTAAGGTTGGTGCTACCTCCATAGCATATGTTTCTTCTATTTCTTTTACTAAATCTCTGTTTTTCTATAGGAATGCATTTTTTGATTGTGTTAATGCTTCTATTGTTTGGAATAAATATTCTTTTCGCGATTCTGCTTTTTCTGCTTTATCTAATTTTTTCCTCGTTATATTTTCTATGTCTCTGATGTGTTCATTGGTTTGTTCTGGTGATAGGTTGGATACATATTTGTAGTGTCTTTCCATATCTTCCATTCTTTGTTTTAACTGTTGAATTCCTTTTCGTATTTTTGGATC